CCATGTTTGGAGGTGCCTGAGGAGGGCTGGGACGATGCCAGGGACATCCTGCAGTGACATCCTCCCTGTCCCGCTCTGCGTGTGCTCAGTCCCAACCCTGACCCTGATCCTGGTCTCAATCTCACTCCATGTTTAGACACACTCACAGTTCTGTATTTAATCTCAGTCCAGTGCCAGACTCGTCTAGCCCCAGACCCAATCCCAGCCCCAGCCCTAAAGCCAATCCCATGTTTTGCCTTAATCCCAATCCCAGCTCTAATCCAAATCTCAGCCCCAACTCCTACCCCAGCCCCAATTCCAGCCACTTCCTAAATCCTCAGCCCCAAACCAAATCCCAGGTTCAGCCCTTCTGGGGGTTTGGGGGTGTCTCTGTCCCTCCAACCCCGATGATGTTTGGGTGGGGTCACACCAGGGCTGAGAGGGACAGAGACCCCCCCGGCCTCCCCAGGGATGAGAAGGTTGGAGAGCCCCCCCAGCCCCGAGCACCCTCAGCAGTGAGAGGGACACAGAGCCCCTGGTCCCCAGCCCTGCACAAGCATTCCCTGAGGCCAGAGGGATGGAGACCCCCTGAGCATCCCCCAGGGCAAGGGGACAGAGACTCCTGAGCATTCCCTGGGCTGAGAGGGACAGAGACTGCCCCGAGCACCTCCTGGCACAGGGGTGAGAGGGTGGGAGACCCCCCAGGTATTCCCTGGGCGAGAATGATGGAGACACCCTGGGGAATGGCCTGGGGTGACAGGGACACGAACACCCCTAGGGAATGGCCTCGAGTGATGGGAACAGAAACAACCACCCCAAGCCCCTCCCAAGAATCCCCCAGGGCTAGAAGCACAGAGACCCCTTGAGCATCCCCTGAGCACTGGACAAAACAAACTCGGCAGAAATAAAACTTAACCCTCCAAAAAATGCCTTGAGGTATATTTGCTCTTCCCAAAAGTCACTAGTGATGGAAATGCAAACAAATCCCATACATGAATAAACTGAAAATAGAAGCAATTCTGTGGCAATTCCAAGTTTCATCAGTTCCTGCACATCTCCAGCTCAGGTGATGGCAGGTTCCAAAAAAAGGAAAGTGGAAATTTGGCCCAATACATATTAATAAAGGGAAGGGAAAGCTCAGTGTAGCTGTCACAAAGGTGACAGGGACCAAGAAAATAATAATTCTCATATTTGGCAAAGTCCCAAAACCTCTGAATTCAGGAGTTACTTGGGAATTTATCTACTTGAACTGGGTTTCTTATAGGAATTTAGTAGCCTTGTGTTCCTCACCTTGGAGTGAATGAACCTTGTCAGTCTCTCTGGTATGATTTGCTCCCTTTCCTCCAATTATTTTAACAAACTTTTCAAGGAAGGACAAGAAATTATTTTCTTTACACTGGCCACCCACAACAGCCATTTTCCTCATATGTTCTCTCAAAAGTCACTCAAAGGAAGCTGCATCCAAGTTTCCAGGAGTTCCTCCAGAAAGAGGCAAAACCTGCTCAGAGGAGGGAACCAGGCTGTTGTCAAAAGCACTTGGGGTCAGACAACAGAGCCCTGAACTCACTGTGCGAAAATAATGTTGCAGTCTGGTTAATAAAATTATTAGACAGTTGCCTCTGCCCTAATTAAGGTGCTAACAAGACCAAATCCAAAGTGGATTTTATTGAACAGTAAATGAGGGGTAGATAGAGAGATGGAAAGAAAAAGAAAAGGGGGAGAACAAGGGACTGACAGGGACAGAGATCTCCCCTGGGGTGGGGCAAGTGTGACATTGTCCCCTGTGTGCGTGGCCTTCCCAGGGTGAGGGTTTTACACCTGAGCCAGTTTGGGTAAGGGGGGTGGTGTTCACCCCCCACCCAGAGCAGGGATTGCCTCACTGTTTCAGGTTACAATGTCAGATGTAACCAAAAGTGTTTTCAGTCCCCATCTCCATAAACTGTTATCAACAGGTGGGGCAGTGTTCTTTATCTCTTCCATGGCTCAGCCCTGATAACGCCCTCCAGGAGCCATCTTCTCTTAATGGGCCATTGAGTGTCACTGCAGGACGGATAAAATTACATCATCCCATTGTGGGATGCTCCGCCCAGGGGGAGGAACCAAGCATTCCTGCCGGGATATAATCTCACCCTTGCAACACCACGGCCACCTTGCCTACTGCATTCCCAGAGGACAAGAGCTCCATAACCACCACTGGACCTTCAGAGGAAGACCAGACCCTTCTACAGGATCACCGCTTTGACAGAATCATGTTCATCACTCGAGCCAAACTGCAGCCACCATTTCATCAGACTGCTACCACCACTCTGAGCAACGGAGTGTCAGATTATATCTTGACTCTGTCAGTTTAAACCAGTGTTTCTGCATCATTGCCTTGATCTTAATTTTCTTACTCAGTTGTCATTCTGGCTTAGACTCTCTCCCTGGTTTGCTTTGAAACCAGTACAAAACTTAATGTGCTCTCCCCTTGTTTTCCTTCCAAAGCTGGATTTCCCATCCCTCAAAGTTTGCCAGATGGAGGAGGAGGCTGCAAGGAAGAGGAAGATGCCCTGGGACCCCCAGGCAGGTGAGGAGGAAGTCAGTGCCCCTTTCCCCCTCTCTCCTGCTCCATCTCCCAACTCAGCACGGCCCCCGGCTGCAGGACAGCCCCACTGCCGACGCTGTCCTATTGGGGAAGCACTGGGGGAACCTCCTTCTTCTTCCCTCTGGCTCAGAGGCAAACCCCATCCTCTCCTTGTCTTTCCTCCCCCAGACAAGCCGCTGGGGATGGAGATGAGGGAGGACAAATCCCCTCAGCAGAACCTAGTGGAAGAGGCCATTTTGAGCAGCTGCACAACGCAGGAATCCAACAGGGAGAAAATCCCTCAGTGATCCTACAGGAGGAGGTACTGCAAGCCCAGCCCAGGGTGCTCTGAGGAGGAAAGATCCACCCTGGGCTAGGAAGGTGGGCAGAGCTTCAGCCAGAGCTTGGAGCTGGTGGTCCATGAGAAGCCTCATGATGGGGAGAAGCCCTAGAAGTGGTTGGAGTGTTGGAAGAGCTTCAGGAAGAGCAACACCCTGATCTGCCACCAGATTATCCACACCAGGGAATGGCCCTACGAGTGTGGGGAGTGTGGGAAGGGCTTCAGCTGCAGCTCTGCCCTTGTCACCCACCAACGCATCCACACTGGGGAGAGGCCCTACGAATGTCCCAAGTGACAGAAGAGGTTTCACACCAGCTCTGATCTCCTCTGCCACCAGCAGATTCACACAGAGGAGAGGCCCTTCTGCTGCCCTGAGTGTGGGAAGGGCTTCAAGCACAACTCCACCCTTGTCACCCACCAGTGCATCCACATCGGGGAGAGGCCCTACGAGTGTGAGGAATGTGGGATGAGCTTCAGCCAGAAGTTCTCATTGATTCGCCACCAGATCATCCACACTGAGGAAAGGCCATACAAGTGCGAGCAATGTGGGAAGGGCTTCAGCCAGAGGTCCAAACTGATCATCCACCAAATGATCCACACTGGGGAGAGGCCCTACATGTGTCCTGAGTGTCAGAAGAAGTTTAAGACCTGCTCAAATCTCTTCTGTCATCAGCAGATTCACAGAGAGGAGAGACCCTTCTGCTGCTCCAACTGCAGGAAGGGCTTCAAGTGCAACTCCACCCTTGTCACCCACCGGCACATGCACACTGGGGAGAGGCCCTACGAGTGTCCCCGGTGTGGGAAGAGCTTCACCCAGAGCTCTCACTTGACCAAACACCAACGGAGGCACTAGTAAAGGAAGCCCTGCGAGTCCCTGAACTGCATGAAGAGCTTTGTACACTGCTCCAGCCTTATCCCCCATAAGAAGACCCATGTTGGGCACAGGCCTGGTGACCCACATTCCCTGTGATCCATATTGGGAAGACACCTGGTTGGTTATCTTTTAGTTTGGCCCTAACATTCTTCTGATTTGTCTTTATCAATTAAAACACCTGAAACAAGACAGAAAAGAAAGTAATTATTCAGAGATTTCCAAAGTCCAACCTTTTAACAGGTATTTGTGAAGGAATTTATAGTCTGGGGACATATTCTGGAGGATTTGTGGGTTCTTGGGGTATTTCAGGCAGTGTTCTCAATATCTTTGCACACCCAAAGTCAAGATGGATTCATCTGTCACCTCAAAATGACTCCGTCTCACTGAAAACACCTCAGTCTTACCCCAAAACGGTATAATCCCACTTCAAAATGGCTTTTTTCCACCTCAAAAAACTCTAACCCATGATAAAATACCCAATTCCACAGCCTCCAGGGTGAGATGGGGTAGGAGGGAAATTGAGAGATGTGGGATCCAAATTTAAAGGGTGTGGGATCCAAATTTAAAGGGTGTGGGATCATGATTCTGTGCAGCTGGGTGTATGGGATGTATTTTGATAATAAATAAAACATTCAGAATTATTGATTACTGTCCCACTAATTTTCAGTCAGTTCTCTTTTGTTTTTCAGAGTGCCACCCTCTCAGTTGATTGTGTTTGTGTCCTACTTTCTCTCCTGACTCTCTTTGCCTGTTCTGTTTCTTTTCTCAGTGTCACCCTTGAGCCAGGGCATCTCGCACCAAAGACCCTGCCCTGATTTCATTCCCAATCCATGAGCTACAACCACCATGGGTGAAGTTATGAAGGCTGGCAGTGAAATTTCACTGTAGGATTTGCTCCAATCGGCTTTTGGCTCTTCCATAAGAGCTTTGCCTTCAAGGGCAGGAACATTTTTTCCTGGCTGGGATCTGGAATTCCAGCCCCTGGGAGCATGTGCCATGGATCTCAGACGGGCATTCCCGAGGCTCCCAGGGTGCTGCTCCTGCCGTGCCTCCCAAGGAGCTCTGCAGAGCAGGGGACAAGGTGCAGCAGCTGTGTTGGTTGTGCAGTGCCACAACAGTCCCTGGATCCATGAGTTTCCACACTGCCAACAGCAGTTCCTGGGTTCCATAATACCCTGCTGTGTCCCCATGGATATTTGGTGTCATGAAGTTCTTCAGTGTCACAATGGCCACCTTGCTCCATGAGATTCTGCAGTGTCCAAATGGCCTCCTTGGATGGGCAGTGTCACCATGGACCATTGGCTCCATGCAGCCCCGCTGGGTCACCATGGACTCCTTGGTTCCATGAGGTTCTGGGGTGTGTCTCCATGGTGTCCTTGGATCCACAGTGTCACAATGGACCACTGGATCCATAAGGCCCTGCTGTGTTACTGTGGCCTCTTGGTTCCATGGGACCCCAGGGTCACCATTGACTCCTTGCTTCCATGTCACCCCCTCAGTGCCAAAATGGCCCCTTCGTTCCATGGGGAACACAAAAGATTTATAGAAACATTGAGCAACTCCTGCTTAACCCACCTGGGAATATCTCTTTGCATTCCAGAGAGCAGTTATAGGTGAGGCTAGCAACAGCAGCTTCCATCTGCAACATGCATCCAGGGAAAGGACAGGGACAGAGAATTCAGCTGGGAGACTCAGAGAATTCTGCTTCCAGAGATCATTTCTGGTCACACTGTCCCTTGTAGAAAGGTGACACCAATCCAGGCAGCCTGTACTGAGCAGGTGGTTCTTGAGTGGGGTTTGTTGTTTAGGAAACTTGCTTAGGATTTCCATTCTTTCTTTCTCAACAGGAAAACTTCTCCTGGGCCCGTGTGCAGGCAGAGCCCTGAGGAGAGCAGGTGGGACACGGTGCAATGGGCTGGGACATGGAGCTGCAGAGCTCAGGGACAAAGTTCTGCTGCAGGGCACAGGGATGTCAGTGCCAGGTGGGCGATGTCAGACATGGTGAGGCTGGGGGTGAGGAGCAGCTTGTCCAAACAGGGTCAGCCCTCAAGGGGCTCATTCTTCTACATGCCCAGACCTCCTAAGGAGACACTGAGCATCAAGGTCACCTGGGGAATGCTTCTATCACCTCTTCTCTGAAGTGGAAAATGAAAAAATACTCACTTGATTAAAGAAAAAAAGGTTATGAGGTGCACTTTGAAATCTTCCTCCTTACAAGAACTCCAAACTGACTCCAGTGAGCTGCAAAAGTCCTGGAGAGCTGAAGACAATTGAAGGAAGAGAAAGATCCTCCACGGTCTTTCTGTATTTTGATGATCCCCATCGTGGATTTGAGCCCCTGTCCAGGACCCTCAGGCACTGAGAGAAGGCTGAAGAAGCTGCTCAAGGAGTCAGGAGCAAAACTCCAAGTTAATTGGAGCATCACCGGGCCCCACTGAGGGCAGGGACTGCCAAAGACTCCCCAGGGACTGGAGAGAGCAGATCCTTGAGGCCAGGATTGCAGGGAGCCCAAGGCTCAGAGCAGGGAACTGCACTGCTGAGCAAGGCCTGGGCTGGCTGGGGGAAGCAGAAAGGCCAAGCCCTGAGCCCAGCCTGGCACAGCAGGGCCTGTCCCTCACAGGTGGCTTGGGGCTGTTTGTGGGGCAGGGGGATGTGAGGGGCAGCAAGGTCAAATGTCATAAACCTGTGTGACCCTGCAGATCCTCATGGAACCAAGGGGCCAGTGTAACACTGTGGGAAGTTGTGGAACCAAGGGGATCATTGTGGCACTGTTGGGCCCATGGATCCAAGGGGATCATTGTGGCAATGTGGGGCCTCATGGACACAAGAGGCCATTGTGAGTCTGCAAGGCTGTAACACCCCAGAACACTGAAATGCTGGGGGTCACCAAAGGTTCCTTTACTTGAGTTTGGTGCACAGGAGAAACACCAAATCGATAGTCTCACTATGGATAGATGCAAAGAATATTCTTGGTAGGAAGGGACCCACAAAGATCATCAAGCCCAGACCTTAAGTGAATTTCCCACACACGGACTGAACCCACAGCCTCGGTGACACCAGCACCATGCTCCAACCAACAGAGCTAAGAGGTCAAAATGACACAAAATGTTACTGGCAAAATATAGACAATGTAATGGAACTTCGGCAAAGGGTTTAATACAAGATCCACTTCAACATAAAACTCACCATACCATTAACTTCATTAACTTAGCCCACTTCACCTAAAAACCTTTAACCCTTAAGATGCTAAGTTACCCAAAATAGTTCCAGGTAAGTAGGATTAGAAAGAGGAGAAATAGAGAACATCAGAAAGATCTATAGAAGATCTATAGAAAGACGCACACATTGGCACCAATTGCTCAGGTCCCAGCGTCGCTAACAGAGGAACCCCAGGAGAAGGCAGGATCCAGACCATGGGCTGGCCTCGTGCTCCGGCTTTTAACCCCCTGGGCCTCCATGGGCCCGCCCCTGGGGTGGGACTGCCCGGTGATTGACCAATCAGAGTCAGGGTAGGCACCAGCTGCTGGTGTGTGATTGGTTGACAGCTCAGCCAATCAGCACCGCCCCTGCTGTGTGATTGACAGCTCTGCCAGGCCAGGCTGGGGGCGGGGCTCTGTCCCACCACAAACCAAGGCCTGACCCGCCCCCGGCCCCACACGGGCATTCCGAGCATCCCAAGGTGTCTCGGGACATGGATCTCATCCAGCCTCTGACAGCGACCACGGGGACACTGTGGGCACCTCATGGAACCACGGGGCCATGGTGACACTATGCTGCCTCATGGAATCAAGGAGACCATTGTGGAACTCAGAGACCCCAGGGAACCAAGGGTCCATGGTGACTTTGTGCAGCTGCAGTGTCACAGAGGAGCCGCTGTGACACAGCGAGGGCACACGGAGCCGAGGGACCATTGTGACACATCAGGGCTCTGTGGAACCACAAAGCCATTGTGACACTGCAGAAGCAAGGGGAACATTGTGACACTCCAGGGCCTGATGGAACCAAGGAGACCATTGTGACACTGCGGGGTTCCACGGAACCAAGGGAACATGGAACAGGTCTGGCTGGCTGGGCCTCTTGGGGACCACCTGACAGGTCCGGCTGACCTTGGCATGTCTAGGGCTGCTTCCCATCTGCCCCTGAAGCACTGGGGCTCTGGGCTTTCCTTTCTATGGGAGAGAACTCTCCTTCTCCTTCAGGGACCCAGGGACAAAACCAGGATTCCTTCTCCAAATTTCCTTATATTGCAAGGATTGTTCCCACATGAAATCTGCCAGGAGAAACAACTCTGGCTGCCTTGGCCACCCAGGGGCCACCTCTTATCTGCCTTTGAAACTCTTGGACCATGTGCTTTTCTTTCTTATGGGAAGAAATCATCCATCTCAACTATGCACCCATGGCCAAAATTTGGCATCTGCCTCAGAATTTCCTATATCCAAGGATAGCTCAGAGACAAAAGCAGCTAAGATAGGTCAGAGACATGTCTGGCTGGCCTTGGCTTCTGAGGGCTGGCACTCATCTGCCTCTGAAACACTGAGGCTCTGTGCTTTCCTTCCTTATGAAAAGAACTCTTCTTCCTGTCCAGGTGCCCACAGCCAAAATTGAGATTTGCCCTCTAAAATGCCCTGTGTCCAAGGATAGCCCCTAGATGAAAGGTGCCAAGGTCTGGCTGGCTTGGCCTAAGGAGGGCCACCTGTCATCTTCCAGGACACTTGGACTTCACACTTCTTTTTCTTATAGGAAAAAATAATTCATCTGGTCTTGGTGCTCATGGCCAAAACTGGGATTCCACATCCAAAACTGTACATCCAAGGATGCTCCCAAGTGAAAGCTTCCAGGACAGACAGGTGTGGCTTCCCTTGGCCTCTTCTGAAAGACACGGGCTGCCTCTCACCTGCTTTTGAAACATTTGGGCTCTGGGCTTTCCTTCCTATGGAAAAGAACCATACTTCTTATATACACAGAAATGTCTGTACTTGTGGTTCCACCTCCCAAATTGCCTATGTCCAAGAGTTGCT